GTGGTTGAAGGGAGCAGAGATCTAGACCAACTGGTCTGTGTAGCCACATCTGTATACTATAATAGGAACTTTAAAAAAGAAAAGAAGGACATGGACAGGGAAAAAGAAAGTGTGGGGGGGAATGGCAGGAAGCTCTGATCACAGTCTCAAGAGAGGTACCCTTGGGGCAGAGTCCAAACCTGAGGACATGTTTTCAATGGGGGCAGCAGGCCATTTTAGGAGGGAGTGCCCCTGGAGGAAGCCACCTCTGAGACCCTGCCCCATCTGATGGGGAAATCACTGGAAGGCATATTGCCCTCAGTTCCCAGGGAAACAGAGGCCAGGGCCTCCCATCCAGGCTCCTGTGATCACCATAAAAGCAGAGGAGCCCCAGGCAATACTTAGTATTAAAAAGCACAAGGTCAGCCTCCTTATCCATACTGGAGCCAGCATTTTAGCTATGCCTTTCTCTCCTGGACCCAGGTCCTCCAAGAAAATTACTGTTCAGGGCGTATCAGGCCAGCCCCAAGAGTGTTATTTCACTCAACCTCTAGCCTACTCCTGGGCAGATTTCTATTTCTTTCATTCCTTTTTAATTGTCCCAGAAACCCCTACTCCTCTGGTAGGGTGAGACCCTGGGTGAGACCTTCTATCTTAATTGGGGGTATACTCCTTTTACCCCCAGGAGAGTACTTTTGCTTGCCCCTGATAGAGGAACAAGAAGACTCCATGGTGTGGATGGATGAATATACTGTGGCACAGGGACACACAGCAGTCCCAGTCCTAATTCATCTCAAGGACCCCTCTTGGCTTGCCCATCAAAAACAATATCCTTTAAAACAAGAAGTTAAGGAGAGACTAATTCCCATAATCAAAGACTTAGAGACAGAGACTGCTAATAGAATGCTCCAGCCCACATAATACTCCTATTCTCAGTGTCAGGAAGAGACCTAACAAATGGAGGCTAGTCCAAGATGTCCACCTGATCAATGAAGCAGTAGTGCCTTCTCCACCCTGTAGTTCCAAATCCCTATATGCTTTTTGCCCAAATACCCCCAAGTACTGCTTACTATTCTGTCCTGGACTTAAAAGGATACCTTCTTTTGCATTCTCTTACATCCTAACAGTCAATCTATCTTTGCCTTTGAGGATCTCACACGAAAAGCTGGACAGGTAACCTGGACTGTCCTCCTCCAAGGATTCCCCCAAACACAGCCCCATCTATTTGGGTTGGCTCTAACCCAAGACTTGGCAGAGTGGCAATATCCACAAGCTACTCTACTATAATATGTAGATGACCTCCTCCTCTGTGGACCAAATGAGCCTGTCATTTCACCAGCCACTGAATCCTTACTAAACTTCCTAACAGATAGAGGTTATAAAATCTCTAAAGAAAAAGCCCAATTGTGTCAGTCTAGGGTTACATATCTAGGTCTTGCCCTGGAGAAAGAAATGAGGGCTCTAGAAGATAGTTTCTGTCTGATCCTGATATTTCCTCTACCTAAGATTCTAAAACAATTGAGGGACTTTCTGGACAGGATACTGTAGAATTTGGATACTTGGATATGCAGACTCAGCCAGGCCCTTATATCAAATCTTTAAGGAGGCACAGAAGGATCCCCAGCCCTTTATTGAATGGGATGACAAGTCAGAAAATGCATTCCACTAGCTTAAAAAGGCCCTTTTTAAGGTCCAGGACAGCTCCAACCCTGAGTCTCCCAGTTCAGGACAAGTTTCAATGATATGTCTATAAAAAGGAAGAACTGGCTGTGGGAGTGGTGACACAGCTCCAGGGCATCACTCCCCAGCCAGTGGGCTACTTAAGTAAAAAATCAGATCAGGTAGCCAAGGGAGGACCAGGATGGCAGTTGCTACAGTTAGCCTTCTAGTGCCTAAAGCTCAAAAACTTATCCTAAACCGGCCCCTGACAGTTTACACCTCACACGACCAAGGGGAAATTTTAAACTCAAAAGAGAGGTTACTCTAATAGTTTAAGGGATAACAGCATTGATTGCAGCCCTAGCTGGGATCAGCTATGGGGGTGACTGCCAATTATGTAACTATAAAAACCCTAACCAAAGTAGTGGAGGGCATCTCAGACCAGGTAGGCCTTGCCATTTAGGACATACAAAAGTCTTTAAACACTTCAGGCACTGTAGAGGAATGTGAAGACTACATTGTCCAACAGGCTAAATGGCTCCAGGAACAGTCCCTCGAAACTCAGGTATCTACACAGGTATGGGACCAAATAAAATCCTGGCTCCCCTCCAGGACATGGTTCCTACCCTCTGTGGGGCCTTTAGTTGCCATTATTCTCATACTTGTGTTTGGGCCTTGCATTTTAAATTTACTTGCCAAGTTTGTTTCCTCTCGCCTAGAATCAATCAAACTACAGATGCCCCTGATGGAGATGAAAACATGGTCCCCTCTGGTCAGCCTTGATGCTGCAGGCTCCTTCATCACCCCCTGTCAGGAGGAAGCAGTCACTGAATACACTTCCCTTGTCCCTATCCCTAACAGCAGTTAGGGTGTTCATTGAGAGGGGGGACTTGAAGGATGGACTGCAGAAGGTCCCAAAAGGTGGTAATTGGCCAAGGAGACACGTCTCCTTCCCAGGAAATGTGTGTTTGCACCTGAGAGACATCCCCACCCTCAGGCAATAAATAAAAGATTATAAAACCCATTTTCCAAACTGACCTACGGAACACCAGTTTCCAGGTCGTGCTGCATGCCCCCATGCGTCCTTTCTCTTCTTGTCTCAACAAATAAAATCTTTCTGACCTCTGCTGCTCAAGTTTGCCCCTGCTTTCATTCTCAGAGCAGACTTAAGAACTCTCAACAGCTCAAAATTCCTGCATGTCATCTGTGTATCATCTCATTTTAAAGTAAGCTTTTTGGATTAAAAGAAAATACATTCAACTATAAATCATTTTTAGAAACTTAATAATTAAAAATAAATGAAAAGTGACTTCCTTATTGTTAATGCAGATATTTTTGACAGGCTATGGTCTATAAAATGTATAGCTAAAATCAAAATTAAAAATATATTATGGGTTAATAATATTATTAAAATAGCACTGGTTGGTGAGATGTTTATTCTATAAATTATTCAGAATTCCTTACACTTGGATTTTACATTTCCAAATTTCTTTTTCTTCCTCATCTTTACAGTATGACAAAAATAATGGAGTGTGAGAATTAAAAGAAAATTTTCAAAACAAACTAATGCATCGTTCATTTATATATGAGGTAACTGGTTCCCAACGAGGCCATCTGCATGCCTCATAGTTTCACAGATTTGCTGCAGAGCCTTATTAAAAATTTTCAACCTCTTATTTGATTGAATGATTGATTGCAGTGCTGGACACCAAACCCATGGCCTTGCATATGTAAGGGCTCTACCACTGAGCTGTACCCTCCACTCCTAATCTCTAAATTTTAACCCTTTGCTATTACTCCACATTTTTTTCTGCTTATTAAGTTTTCAAGGAAGGCTTATTTTCTTATTGATTTTTTTACTACTAAGATAAACATTGACCTAAATAAAAGCAGAGATAGGGTTAATAGGTTTTCCCTTAACAAGAAGATGACCACCCTGATTTTACTTGTCAACAAACAATCTCTATGTGTCAATAACATTAAGAAGAAAAGTGAGGTTATACTAATTGCATATACCACATCTAGTGAATGAGTAGATAAGGTAGAATGTGGAAGAAATAGATTTGACTGCTTCTCTCTTGTATCCTTAGAGAAAACAAAAATTTGAAAGCATTTTTGCTCAAATACCACAGTGTTAACTAAAAAACATAACACATACACACACTCTTTAATATCTGAACAAGATGACCCATTATGTTATTCTTAGATTATATCTCCCTTATACTTAAAGTCTCACTTCCACGCATGCTGAAGAGAAAACCAGCTTAATGATGCAAAACTTCTCAACTGAGGAACAAACTGACATTTATTTTATGAAGATTCTGAAATAGACAATGTTCTGATTTTCAATGCTTCTAAATTTCAAAGGAATGGAACTCATTAGCTATTGTATGGCATTGTTCCACTCATTTAAATGACCCCTGCTCTGTAATAATAATAATAACCCTCAGATCGCAGGTAACTAAGAGGATGAGTATATGTCTTTGTTTTTTGGGATTTTGTTTATGGTTTGGGAGGTCTGAACCCAGGGTTTTGTGCTTGCAAAGCAGGCACTACAGGGCTGGGGAGCTGGGGCTCAAGTGGAAGACCACCTACCTAGTAAGTGCAAGGTCCTGAGTTCAAACCATATAAAGCCAAAAAAAGGCAAGTGCTCTACCACTTGAGCCACAGTCCATTTTGCCCTGCATATTTTGAAGATGGAGTCTCTGGAACTATTTGCTGGGCCTGGCCTCAAACCATGATCCTCCTGATCTCAGCCTCCAAAGTATCTAAGATTACAGGTGTAAGCCAACGTTCCCTGGCTGGAAGAATGAGTTTATATCTTACCCAACCAAGGAACTGAAATACAAATTATGCTGAGATTATAGAATCTATAGCCAAACTGCTTAAGTTTGAATATCAGTAGTACCAATTTCTAACTACATAACTGTCAGGAAGTTCCTTAAACTCCTTATGCCTTGGTTCTCTTACCAGTTCAGTAGTGATAATAATATTACCTACTTCTGGGTGGCTAAATGACTTCAGATGAGCATATAAGCTGCTTGATACATCTTAGACATCATGAAAGTTCTTTATTAGAGCTATTCTTGTCTGCATATGTAGAACATTTACAATTTACTAACCAATGTACCAAATCCTTTACTTGTATCATCTCATTTAATCTTCCATACAGCCTAAGTAAAAGACAGAGTTCACAAGTAACAAACCCAGGTTTCAAATCCAGCTGAGTGGTATAACTCCTCAAACCTAATCATTAATTATACAATATTGCTTCCTAAAATACAGATAGTTTGAAATTCAGTAAATGCTAGGCTCCCTTTTTAAATATCTATTATTAAAAATATTGAGTTGAAGAAGGAATAAAATGGGAAAACTTTTTTCACATTATATAAAAGAGTCCCTTTAGCATTTTATTAGAAAACAACTTATAGCATAAAAGAATTTTTGGAAAAAAATCTAATTCATACATAATCAGAAGCATGTCTACATTATAAATAGAAGGCAACCACACCATATGACCACTCAGAATAAAAAAGTGGGTCAGGAAAGGAATAGGCTGTGAAAAATCAGATGATAAAGGAATGTCTGCAGTGACTATCAGAACTGGAGAAAGGGCTAAAACTATAAACAGGTACAGCACTGTGTAAAGTGGTAGGAATACTCTAAAACTAGATGGGAGGAATAGCTGAACAACACCATAAATTTACTAAAAGTCATTAAGCTCCACAGTTCAAATGAGTGGAACTTTATGGGATGAAAATCAGATTTAAATGGAGTTCTTTAAACTAAACAATTTCATATTTGTAAAAGGAAGCAAAGCAATTGTGTTGAATTTGTTTTCTACTACCCTAGCTAAATGAGAGACAAAGCAATATAAAACTGGCTTCCATTCTAAGATGCTTAATTAAGAAAAGTAATCACATTCTATATAATTCAGGTTACAGAGTAACCTGAAAGTTTTCACACAGGAGCTTGTGATCAAATAAACAAACACAGGTAGTAGGAACTTGGAGTATCACATACTATCTGAATATAAGAGCTGGTTTGTTAGACTTCAGTTGTAAGGTCCTCTCCTAAAATAAAAACAGAAATCTTCTTACTTGTTGCCACTTTTTTGCTTATAATAAGTATATACTATCTTAAAGTCTGTTCCTAATTTTGAGTTTTTAAGTTTCTAAAAGTAAAAAAACAGTAAGTTACTAAAATACTAAATTTGAAGAGATTATAAAGGATTTCAATTGTATAGCATTGTAAATATGTACAGATATAGCAATTCATCAGTAACATAATTTAACAAGCATTTATTTTGAGTTGACTACATGTGCTATGCAGAACTACACAGCTATCAGGAATAAAGACCCAGACCCTGCTGTTAGATAGTAGAAAAGAGTAAAACTGATTCACAGACAATACCGACACAATTTATGAATATATGGATGACAAGATGATGTGGGATCTATGAGGGTTCCAAATGCAATCAAAGCAAGAAGACCTATATGGGCAACACAGATAAGGAAAGGTACTTGAAAGAAGTAAAGTGACAAAGTCTTACAAGAAAGAAGAAAACATGCTCCAAAATGTTGCAGGAAGCAGAAAAATCTTAAGCAAATAGTTGTAGGATATACACAAGAGAGGAGCATGACTAAGGTAAAGACAATGTTGCTGACATATAGCAAAGGAGTAGCTGACAACTTGGATCAAAGGAAGAACTTCCTCCAAAACCAAAAACTTACCAAAACTGATGTAAGATGAAGGAGAAAAAACTCAATAGTTTTCTTTTGAAAGGTATAATTTTTCTAAGAAATTGAGTTAATTATTTTAAATTTTCCATAAAAATCCCAGGTCTAGATGTTTTCATTGGAGAAGTCTATCAAAATCTAAGCAAAAATATATAGAAATAATATTTTAAGTCAATGCTTTAAAAACAAACTCAGAAAAGGGAGACACTCTGCAACTCCTTCCAAAAGCTAGTATTACATAATAAACAAGTCCTATTAAATACATTACAAGAAAAAGAATTAACAGCATAAGACTTTCCTCAACAGAGATGAAAACCCCTTATCAAAACATTAGAAAAGACAATCCAAAAATTTACTTTAAAAAAGAGCCAAACATTGTGACCAGAAGGGGTTTATCCCAGGATTGCAAGGTTGGTTCAATTTTGAGTCTTCTGTGGGAAAGGGTGGAGAAGAGGGATAGGGGGAGCTCAACTGAAACACTGCTCAAGCCTCTGTGCCAAGTCCTTCTTACTAAGGATACTTAAGACATTTTGTTTTCTGAACTCTGACTTAGGAGTTTTCAACTTCCTAGCTCTGTCCTCTTGTCTTCTAGTAGTACCTAGGTCCATAAAACAACAGGAAACTTTTGTTTGTGGCTCTGTCAGCAAGGAGACTAAATCCTTCCTCTGGTACCTGTCTACACAGATATACCTGACCCTTACCCAGAGTGTTCAAAGCAAGGAGCAAGGGGCTTGTGACATGCAGGATGTCAGCAATTTTTGTTGTTTGGCCTCTTACCTAATTAATCACATGACAGCTCTGACCTCTACTGTGAACAGTAAGAAAATTTTTAAAAAATTAAAAATAGCTGTAAAAGTTAAACACTTAGATGTAATAAAAGATATGTAAAAATTCTACATTGAAAACTACAAAAACATCAATGGAAAAAAAAAGAGTATCTTAATATTTGAACAAATGGAGAGATACACCAAGTTTGTGGATTGGAAGACTTAATACCTGAAGATCTGAGTGCCTCCCTGAACTCACCCATGCATTCAACACAAACTCTACCATAATCCCATAGTTTCAATATACATTTTGACTTTTAAAAATATTGTGATTAACACACACACGCTTCCAGGCTCATCCACTATCACCCAGCAGATGCACACAATACAATGTTTGCCTTTTCACTTCAAATCCCTGTCCTCTGCCCATCTTGCTGACCTCTCCACAGTGCACCCCACCCTGCTACTGTTGGTTTTTCTCCAACATCCAAACCAAACAGAACGTGAAAAGTATTTTTGTACCCTGTGTAACAAAATATTTATGCATCAGAAAGGATTTTTCATGTGTGTCCCATTAAAAAAAAATATATATATATATATATATATATATATTTATGTATTGTGATAAAACATGTTATGTTTATATAACAAAATATAGCACTCAGCTGCATGGTACTAAGCATAAATTAACAATATTGCACAGCCATCAATACCACCCATCTCCAGAACTTTTTCACCTTCCCCACCTAACATTTTGTAGCTATTAAATACCAACTCCCAATGCCTCTCAACCCTGGCAATTACACTTTACTTTCTATGCTCATTAATCTGTTTTAGTTACCTCATATACATAGAATCATACAATATTCACCATTCTGTGACTGGCTTAATATAAATGTCAATTTTCAAACTGTCTCCAGTGTTCGTTTTTATAACATGTGTTTGAATTTCATTACTTTTTAAGGCTGAATAATATTTCATTGCATGCTGCTTTTTTTGGACATCCATTCACCCAAGAAAGGATAGTTGCAGGGGAGGGGAGAGGGAGAGGGCTAGGCAGGTACTCTACTACTTGAGACAGACCCCCCAACTCAAACTTTTACTTTTGTGAGGAATTAAATATTGTCTTCCACAGCAACTGCAAACAACTTTGAACTTATAAATGGAAAATATTTTCTTCCATTCTGTGGGCTGCCTTGTTATTCTGTTGATAGTGTATTTGATACAAAAAAAATTATTTGCTACAGAAAAGTTCTTAATTTTGAATAAAATACAATTTATCTAGTTTTTGTTGGTGTTCTTTCCTGTGCTTCTGAAGTTATATTCTGTTCTCTCTCTCTCTCGTCTCTCAATAAAAATAGGTTGTTTCTAAAATTTATATGAAAATGCATAGGAAATGGAATAAGAAAATAACTCACTATAAGGTCTCAGTGATCAAGACACTTGATATTAACATGGTAAAAAGAAAAACAGCACAATAGAATCGAATATACAGTCAAATAATAGACCCACATTGAAAAAGTCAACTGATTCTTAACAATGTCACCAAAGCAACTTAATGTGCAAAACAAGTATTTTCAATAAATGGCATTGGACCCATAATAATCAAACTTATAACTCTACTTAAGACCATATGCAAAATTAATTTAAGATAGCTTACATATTGCAATATAAAAGCTGAAACTACAAAGTTATTAGATGAAAACAAAGAAGATAATCTTCATGACTTGGAGCTAAGCAAAGAATAATTAGACTGAAAAGGAAATAATAACTATAAAAAAATAGTTGGACTTCTGCAAAATTAGCAACTCCTGCTCTTCAAATGGCACCACTAAGAAAATGAATAGGCAAGCTACAAATAAAAGAGAATATATTTGCAAGGTATACATCGGTTGAGCTTCCTTAAACCAAAAATCTGAAACCCAAAATACTCCAGAACCAAAAAAAATCCAAACTCTGAAGTACATCTGATTTCAAGCATTTTGAATAAGGGATACTCAACCTGTATTTGAAAAAAGGACTTACATGAAGAATCTATTAAAAAATCCTGCAAAAGGATGAGTTCACAAAAGAAGATATACCCATGCCCATGAACACAGAAGAAAGGTGCTAATCATCATTATTGACCAGGATACGGTTAAATGAAAACACAGAAAATTCTCCTACACATCCACTGAAATGCCTAAAATCAAACAAAGATTAAAATTTCCATATATATGAAACAAAGTAAGATACACAACTTATCTATAGTGGGGAAGAAAAAAAACAGAAAAGATGTTGCCTTTCAGATTTTTTAAGCAATGAAAATATTCTATACCATAATAGGAATGGGGATTATGAGAGTGCATTCTTTTGTAAAACTTTCCCAACTTATTCCCTTACTATTTAGGCATTTCATTCTATGCATCTTACCACACATATGCACATACACACACACGCACATAAACAAAAATCAAACAACTACTGAACTGTTTACTCTTTGCAATGGTTTAAGACTAGGAATTCTGAATCTATGTATTTTTAGTTTCAGCCAATAGGTAAATATATTGCCCTGAAACTAAAAATGAGGGAACTTATGATGAAATCATTCATAAGTATTAATAAAAGGAAACAACATTTCCATGAAACTATTTATAATTATTTCATCATTTCATTATTATTTCAGAATTTACAACTTTGGGGAAATGAAACTTTTTTTATTTAGTTTCCATCATCTGGATTTAAAAACTATAAAACAAAACATATATAATAATAACTATAAAGGTTCAGTTAAGGCTTTTTATTCCACTTAAATTTTTTCTTTTATAGATCTATATTAGTTAAGATTATATTTCATCAAAGTATCTACTTAAAAGAATATCAGCAAGGAGGATGTATTATAAAAATTCAAATATAATACTTGTTCATTTTTTCCTACTCATGTTCAATTTAAAAAGGAAGGAAAATATTTTTCCTAATTCTGGCTCAGGATGATCACTCTGAACATTGCAGTACTACATCCTGGAACTATTCATATATTAGGTATTATTAGTATTCTTACAAAGTTTTACTTTTGCTTTTAAGCTGATTGAAATAAAAAAATATAGGTTTTTAAGTTAATATAATTAAATGGACAGGTTTTCAAAAGCTATTTTATTAAATAAGCACTTCTAAACTAAAGGATACCACATAAGGTAATTTCTCTTTTTTAAAACTTTAAAGAAAAAAAATTATAAAAAAAAATACAAAACTATACATAGAAAGAACTGCTCTGTCATAGACACAAATATGTTTCATGGGTGTCTAAGTTTTAATTTTTAGACTATGTTTAAACTAAAGATGAATATTAACTTTTTATCTCACAGTTTTATAAAGTGTTTGAATATTCAGTTTCAACTGCATTATCATTTCCTCCTAGATAGAATTTACTTACTTTTATCATGCTTTAAGCTTAACTATGGATGTAGTCCATATACTGATTGTGAGTTATCTTACCAGTATTATTTAATGCTGAACAATTACTATTAAAGCTTCAGTAGCAGGTGGAACTTACAACTTTAAAGCATGTAACAAGATCTTTCTTTTGCAGTTTAACCCATTCCATATATCACTTGATAGCATATCTGTCTAGAATGAGTGGTAGAATGCAAGCTTTTATCCCTGGTCTATGGGTTAACATGTAGACTGGTCAGGCCTCTGTGCTATTTCTCTGTATCTAATTTTCAACCATGTTCATGTGCCATACAGACCACATGAGCTCAGCTAGTAAAAGTACATTGCAAACAAGACTAATGTCCCAGCTCCATCCTCTGAGCTCTGTTCCAGGTGTCAGTTGCACTAAACATTTGTGTTCACCCATTAGCGCAATAAACAGGTATTAAGCGTCTTCCATATGCTAAATCATTAGAAATAGGGATTAAAGAAGAGATTATTAATAGTCTGACAAGTATTTATTACTCTACCTTGAAAAATAAACTCAGTCTACGGGCAATACCATTTTATCTTTATAAACTTTGTAAAAGCTAACATATTAAAATTTAAATAAAATTAGACTCCCAGTCGAGGAAAACAAATAAATAAATTAAAAAAGTTAAAACTTTAAAGAAAAACTATTCACCTAAACAAGATAGAAATCTATGAAGATTTTCTCAAATTAGGGACACAATGATTTTAAACACTCCAAAAAGTATAGAAAGAAATATTTCTAATTTATTGAGTTTTTATTTTATTTAAGTACTATATAGTGCTATTATTTAGTAAATAGATCAGAATATGCTTTAAAGCAATGAAAAAGTTATTTAAAAAATAAACATACATATTAATGATTACAAACCAAAAGTCCCAAAGAGGTCATAAGAGAGATCCAAGATCGTGGCTAGGGTAAAGAAGAAG